TAAATATGAACTGGATAAGCCTGAAAACTGAGGACACTAGCACAGAGGTGTTGGGAGTACGATTTCTGACACATGTGGGTCCAATAAGTAGCACTGCTAAGTCATAATGCTTTGGGGTCAGTTTCCACGAAATGGATCTTCCAAATTTCTTTCATCAAGCTTCCTTTCAATTCTCTCTAGCTTTATTAGGTAACATCATTTCTAAAGTTCTGATAATCCCTTTAATAAGGTGAATTTGTTTATCCTTAGATGCAAGGAAGGGTATAGGGGAGAATAGAGACAGTGGCATATCAGAAGTTATTCTAAGTTAAAAAAAAAAATACGACTGTCAAAGGTATCATGACCATGATATCAAGATAGGTGACTGGTATTCTGTACAAATTTTAGACAGTGTTAGCTGGCATATGTGACCATCTGTTCACTACTTTAGGACAAGATTTGTTTGTTTTTGTGGCAGAACTAATTCTGTTTCAAAGGACTTTTGAAACAGTGCTTACTGTACACCAGTATAACTCGCAAGCAGATAAGTTTACCTTAAACCCACTTCAAAACATATTCTGACTATGACAGCTCATATGATCTCCTCCACTCTTGCCTCCAATACATGTGTGGTTTTATTATCCTAATTAACTGAGGACTGATTATACCTGGGGGATATTGCACAATACAAGAAGAGATGAGGAGAATATATAATCAGACAGTGGAAATCTTAAAAAAAAAAAACTTCATAGAAAGGGGATGACTTTAGTATCAAGAGATGGAAAGGACATTCCAGGGAAAGAATAGAATAAAGAAAACAGGCAGGAAAATGTAGAACAATGAATAGGTCAGTGAAAGTACAGGTTAGGGTCGGGGATGAGATTGTAAAAAGGTTTTTGAGCCTCAGGCTATAGGATTCAGATTTATTCTAAATGTGCTAAGGCATAAGTCAACAAACTTTTTCTATTAAGATCCAGATAGCAAATACTTTGGGCTTTGCAGAGTAAGAGGCAAAATCAAGGGTATTACGTAAGTACTTACATGACAAGAGAGAAAACAAATTTTCACAATGAAATTCAAATATAATAATAATAATAATAGAGCACTTTTTTGAATACAGGCCTACAGTATGAAATTCTTTGGGGATCACATTTTGCTTACTTAGGGTTCAAAGTTAGTGTACCCTACAACAAATGCATTACAAATGTTCACATGTAAAAACTATTCTTAGTTCACAAGCTGTACAAAAACAGGCAGCTGTATTGGATTCACAGGATGTAGTTTGTTGACCTCAGCATTAGGGAATCATTCCATGTTTTTGAGACAGGGAGACAATCTGATCACAATGTTGGTTGCATTAGATGAGACAAACTAAAGGCAGTGTAGTATAGACAAGAGATAACGAGAATATAACATATATAATGTCATGGTTTTGAGTGGTCATGCTCAGGAAAGCAACTAAAGTAGAGCAAGAAAGAATCTTGGGTCAAGTCAAAGTCAGATAAGCAGCATTAACGACTTAGATGGATAAACCTTTATCCTAAGGAGAGGTTCACTTCCTTTTCTATACCTTGACATGTGTGGGACCTCTTACTTGTACTGGGAAAAGAGTCCAGATCTCTTTAGGCAAGTCTTGCCCCTGATTGAAGCAGAGTAAAAAAAAAGCTAAGAGAACCTCCAGAATAAAACATTTGAAAGACGAACTTACTGGGCAAGAAGAAGGGAAGCACTTTGAACTCTATTTTCAGGCACTGCAGAGACCCTTTGAAATCAGGAGAATAATCATTTCTCTATGAAGTGGTTTTGTAGCTACAGTGAGTCATCATATCTTTGCAATCCATGGTGTCAGTTATATAATCTTGTCAACTGGGTCAAACTCTCAGTTATCCAGTAGATATACTAATAATAAGTTTTAATGCCATGTTACAGAGATACTGTATCAAGTGAAGATGCATTCTAAAGAGTAGAAATTATGTGCTGTTGAAGATTTATCTTGAACCTGAACCTTATTCACCTAGAATCCAAGCGAATATGTGCACATGCTTTAAGGAACAGTGTTAGGGCTGTGGAAGTCTATTTACATAGAATGACCAAGGATCCTGCTTGGATAGTCAGTGTTAGAAGAGAGGGATAGTTCTGAATAAAGCACTGTCTATTAATTAAATTGTTCTCCAGCCCAGTTCCCACAGACTTCTACTTCAGTCTTAAGTTAGTGGGACACAATAAAGGATGGCATCAAAACTGAACTGAGAGATTAAGAACCCTTGGAATTAGTGATTTCATCATTAGAAGGATAATTGCTCTTGACAAAGATCTTAGCACACTTGAATCAGGTATTTACTACCTTCGGGTAGATGTTGGCAACATAGCACTTGAATGCCCCTGAAAACAGGGGCTTCCTTAATTTTTGTGCATAGGTGCCTTAGTTCCAGCCCTGGTTAGCAAGCATAGACAGCAATTTTGGTGACAACTAGATGCAAATAGCAGGGGGAAAATGGGGAGTTCCATTGGAAGCCATCACGTGTAGTCTTTTAAAAACTCATAGAAAGACAGTCACCCAATAAGCACTTGTAGAATGAATCTTGGGGTGACTTTGAAAGAATGTGTATTATTGCCTCACATTCTCTGTGGCACATGATGAGCTATAAATATAAAAATGATTCAGGGGCACCTGGGTGTCTCAGTTAGTTAAGCATCCAACTTCGGCTCAGGTCGTGATCTCACAGTCCATAAGATCTAGCCCCATGTCAAGCTCTGCACTGACTGCTCAGAGCCTGGAGCTGCTTCAGATTCTTCTCCCTCTCTCTCTGCCCCTCCCTTGCTTGTGCTCTGTCTGTCTGTCTGTCTATCTCTTTCTGGAAAATAAACATTAAAAATTGTTTTAAATGATTCAAACAATCACATAAACATTTTATCACATATGAAGACTTAGATATTGTATGGGTATGTGAATCCCCCTTCCACAAATCAAATTGAATTTGGTATATTACATTCCTCCTGGAAAGCTACAGAGAAGTTGCGGCCACACAGTTACGTTATTTCCCACTCAGTGTTTGCTTTATAATGAAGGAAAAATAAGCTATTTCTTAAGGAACAGGTGTAGTGCTAGTTAGTCAAGAGAATAGCAAACAGCAGTGGGTTGCTGCCCTGGAAACAGCCTGGTGTCCTAGCAACAAGCACGTTCGTTTGCTTGGACTGCCCTGTAGAGTTCTGTCAACATAGGTAAAGGGCTTACCTACAGCACTTAAGCGACAGCCTTTCTGTTTCAGAGTAAAGTGAGGCCCATATATGTAAACCTGGAAATGAAGGAGAAACCCGATTATTCTGCTAAGCAACCAGTGGCTTGGAAGGTAAAAGGATAGCAATGTAGGGGTTAAATTTATTCAGATTTACTTTTCATCTAGAGGGGGCTGGAAGTAAGTTTCTTTCTTTAATTGTTGGCTCTCCTAAAGGAAGAATCAAAACTTTGGTGGCAGTGGCTTAGACTATGACCTATGACTCTGTTCTCCCTGCCTTCTTTGGGTTAAAAAGTGCAGTATTTTCCCAAAACTTCATTCGACCTCTGCCTCCATGAGTAGCCACAAAGAGTAGGCAAAAAAGGACAGGACCTATCCTGGTGGTGATTAAGTTGAAGCTCCCATTTTTCCACATATTTTAATTATAATCCTTAAATTCTATGAGAATACTTGAGATTTTTGATTTGGAAAATATTCAAAATATCTCATGAGACCCATAGGAAATCTCAATGATTGGAACTAGCTATAGTATAGCATATAGGGCAAATTTTCTGAGGCCAGGGCAGAAACTTGATAGGATTTGTATTTGGCCCCTTACACTCTTTTATTCTTTCTTTCTTCTTGAGTGAGAGACAGCAAGCACAAGGAGGAGAGGGGCAGGAAGAATCCCAAGCAAGCTCCACACTCAGCATGGAGCCCAATGCGGGGCTTGATCCCACCACCACGAGATCATGACCTGAACCCAAATCAAGAGTCTGATGACCAACTGTCTGAGCCACCCAGGCATCCCATCCCTTACCCTCTTTTAAAAGATCCCTTCCACTTTGTCTTTTTCCATTTTTTCACCTTTCCACATTTATTTAATTGGGCCAGAAATTATTCTAATCATAGTGAATCATCATTGCCTTCTCTACAACTCTAGAGATGTACAAAAATAGTAGGTACCATCCAAGCAAGTGATGAATTTCAATTCAGGAGTGGTATGTTCAATATTAGATCAAACATGTTTTTAGAGAGCTAGATGAATTGGAAATTTCGGTGTTGCCAGTTGAGAACCTATTACTTTTCAATACATTCTCAGTAAAATTGAACCTCAAAGAGATCTCTCCTAAAAGAACATCTACCTTCAAAATTTGGAATAAAGTATATTGAGAAACAGTATTTTTTTTCTCCTCATTTGTGTGTGTGTGTGTGTGTGTGTGTGTGTATGTATATAATTTTATTATTGCGTAGCAAGAAATAAAATACTTAAATAAAACATCTATCCCTTTTGAATGCCTTGACCTTGACCCTTTTATTGGTTGGTATAGCCTGGTAAGTCACACACACACACACACACACACACACACACACACACACACACACACAAAGTGTTTTTCAGTTTTGCATAACTAAATCACCAGAAGCTAAAGAAAGACAGAAAGAAAGAAAGAAAGAAAGAAAGAAAGAAAGAAAGAAAGAAATCCCACTTTAATAATGAATCTCAGCTCTTAGTTTAGTTTCTAAAAAAATTCAGTTTTCATTTAGACTTAATATGATGATATTAGGTTCAGTTTTCATTTAGACTTAATATGATGATATTAGGTTCCAGGAATCGGTAAAAACTAACATAGGAGAGTAATGAAACAAATCATAAAATTAGTTTAAAAATTCAAGTGGATGCCTGAAAAATGTCTTTGGTAACTGTGGAGATAATTGTTCATAACAAAGAACATGTTGAGTAACTATATTGTTATCATTATGACAACAGGCTTTTAGAATGAAGTCTTAGACAGAAGGAAATGATTTCCTGCTTCCAAGTTGGTGACCAATCTAGATATTAAAGCTACAAATGACTTATATTGTATTTCAGCAGATTACATTTAATTAATTAGTAAAAGGAAAACACAAACAGATGAAAGACTTTTTCTGGAGTATGATTGACAAGGAAAAAACAAATGATACTGAGTGATGGTATGAGGGAACTTTCAGCAAAGCATACAGAGAGAAAGGAGGAAGTAATCACAGATAAAGCCAACCAATATAAAGGTAGAGTCTTGAAGAAGACAAGAACGTTTTTGTTAAAAGTGAATACAGGTATGTTGTACACCTGAAACTAACATATATTGTATGTAAACTATGCTTCAATTTTAAAAAAGTGAAAATAGAGAAAGTTATATATATGTACATTGCTGACAGCTTAGATAAGTGCCCAAATATATTTTATTTTAAGCAATGCCTTTAATTAAATGTAAACAGCAAATTCAGTCATTATGTCAACTTCTATTTTAGTAACATGTTTAAAGCAGATTACAAATCTCCTAGTAACCATGTAGTCACAGTTCTTCTTGAAAAAAAATTGTTTCTCGGCAGCAGTTGGTTCTGAAAGGCAATGTATTTGGTAGAAACAAACTTTTACACCGAGATGTATTATTTTGTAGGCAAGTATGTGAATTTTGACTTGCAGTATGCTCATTGAAATTTATTTGGTTTTCTGAAGGATAGTTCCTCACAAAGTTAAACACAGGTTTAACAAAAGTTTTAAAGTCCTGTTAAGGATTTCCTAAGAGTTCTCATCTCACTTACTTCCATTTTACTTCTGCTTCTTTGTGGTCACTACTGCTGCGCAAGAAGCAATTTTGCAAGCATTTATATGGCTGTGAGCCATGTATGAGTCAATTAGATTGCCTATTTTTTAAATCTCTCTAACAGTTTATAGAATAGACTAACCCCTTCTCTCACACTGCATCAGGCCTGGATTCTGCCCTTTTGAGGAAGAATACATTAGACAAAAAAAAAAAAAAAAAAAAAAAAAAAAAAGAGCATCTCAACGAGATCAGAGCAGAAAGTATCAAACTCTTCTCCCTCTCCCCCTTTTAAAAATGATATACAAATGCCTCTTGAGATCTATTTGAAACACATGTGCAATGCTCAGAAAATAGTAATCCATCAGTAACAGGGTCTAACAGATTCCCCTATCCCTAGATACCCCCACCTCCAACCCCTTATTCTTCTAGATTTGTTTGTTCTAAATTCACTAAGCCATATTGCTTCTCAAAATTGCAATTAACTTCCCATGAGAAACCCACTGTCTATGAATTCGGGTCTCTGTAGGTAGAAGAGAATGTCAGCAATGTGAAACATAGTCTGTTTAATATCATCCTAGGCCAGTACTTAACTGAACTAAATATAATGGACTAATAAAAAGAGTAGCATGGATAATACATAAGAAAACAGGAGATAGAAAAAAAATGTTTTTAATTGTCTCTGGGGGCAACAGACTTGCTTTCCTTCCTCTTTACTTCCTTCCTTCTGCCCTTCATTTCTATGTGCTGATGAAACTTATATTAGCATTAGTTTGTATTCCTTAAGCGCAGGGCAGATGCCTAGGCCACTGGTGATGAGAAGTAGGCTAATAGTGTGCTGAAGAAAAACTCAACCTGCAATTTCTACTTCATGTGTTTGCAACATAGGAACTACTTGGTTTGCCTTGATAAGATAATTAGATGCTATTTTTTTCTACATATACATTCCATATTAGATAATACAGCAATTGATGCTGGCCATTAGCTACCAAGGGATTGTACCTCTTTTTGCTCATCAGTACAGCCCAAGAATCTAGCAGAGCATGGCACAGAATAGGCACTCAATAAATATTGAGGGATAAAGTGGCTTTAGTTTACTTTTTCTAAACATTTACAAATGCTAAAACTATTTGCACTTATCCAAGCATACCAGGTTCTCCACATCTCTCTGGATTTTGACCCATTGATAACCCAGTGTAGAATTTCTTTTAATTAGCCTCTTACCTATAGATTCCTACTTAGCCCTCAAGTTTCAGATGGAGGAATAATGCACCTGTGATGCTTAGGTGGACTCCTCTGTTTCGTGATGTTTCTTCCTACACATAGCACACAGCATCTTGTATATACTGTTCTCTTCTGGCACTGGAATTGCTTATTGGCTTAAGAGAATACCCTTTCTTTAGGCTACGAATTCTTTAATGGAACATATCTTTTCATCATTGTAGCCTCAACCCTAGCATGGGTCTGATTTGTTGGGATTCAGGCAATGTCAATTCAATGGAAGCCATTTCCTTTCATATCCCAAAAGGAAAAGTGAGATATCTACTCAAGCAGTTGGGATATAATCTGATGCATCTCAGAGTAGAAACATGATACAGTAAGGCCCATGGGAGCACAAAGGAGAGCATGGTTATTTATTCCTGAATATCAGGATTAGATTCTATAGAGAAGGTGACATTTGACCTGTCCTTGGGATAATGAGGAGCTCACCAAGTGGATAAGGTAGAAGACAGAACACTGTGAGCAAAGACATCAAAATTTAAAAGTACACAGTGCAGCACTGCAATTCTGCTTCCAGCTAAGATGGAATAACAGGAACCAGATTTATCCTCTCACCTGAAGCAACTGGAAATTTCATATTTCATAAAATATATGAAATGATGGTTTCAAGATATTATACACAGGTAACAAAGGATAATGACAGATGCAAAGTGGAAAACAAGTAACATGAGCCTCATGATTGGCTCAACTTACCTAGAGAGAATTTCCAGGCCATGATTCAAGGAGAAGGAAACTTAGGCAGGGCCTGCTTGTTTCCCTGGGTTGAGGGGAGCCAGGAGTCTCAGGAGACCAGGTGCCTATTGTTTACAACAAAATATACTGGAGCTACAAAGAGAAAGAACTCCAGAGACTGAAAAGATTTTCCCCTGGAGTCTTCAGCTGAGTACTGATTAACATTTACATGTGAAGACACTATCTGAGGCTGGGGAAAGAACAACCAAAAGGTTTAAAGGGAATAATCCCTGGAGTGAATCCATTGATGGAAATACTTCCTTGTCCTGATTCCAGAGTAGAAATCCTCCTAACTAACAGAATATTGGCCAGAAAGGTTTTGCCTCAGTAGTGGGACAAAATTAGCCATGGATTCAAAGCCGCTCTAGTTGGACCTACCAAAGCTCAAAAGCAAGATCTGTGTACCAGTTTTCTATTGCTGTGTAATAAACTGCCACACATTTAGCAGTTTAAAGCAAAACCAAATTTATCTCACAGTTCCGATGGATTAGGAGTCCTGGTATAGGTTAGCTGGTTCTTCTGCTCAGGACCTCACTGGGCAGAAATGAGGTGAGGGTGTTGGCTGTGGCTATGGTTCTCACTTGAGGCTTGGAGTCCTCTTCCAAGATCATTCAAGCTGTTGGCAGAATTCACTTTCTTGTAGTTGTAAGACAGAGATCACTGTTTTCTTGCTAGGTGTTGGTGTGGGACCACTTTAAGCTCCCCAAGGGCCCTCATAGGTAACAGACCAGTGGGAATGTTATCTCTAATGTTTATCATCTGTATCTTCTTTCAAAGTCTCTCCTGATTTGGTCAGGCCTACCCTGGATGATATCTCAATGCCTGGTGTAGTTCTAAATGTATGTAGAGGAGGGGCGCCTGGGTAGGTCAGCTGATTGTGTCCGACTTCAGCTTGGGTCATGATCTCATTGTTCACGGGTTTGAGCCCCACGTCGAGCTCTGTGCTAACAGCTCATAGCCTGGATCCTGCTTCGGACTCTGTCTTCCTGTCTCTCTGCCCTTCCCTGCTTGTGCTCTTTCTTTCTCCCTCTCTCAAAAATAAGTAAACATTAAAAAAAATTTTTTTAAATGTATGTAAAGGAAATATTTAAGACAATTGCATTAAAACTGGGAGGGTAAAAGGATATAAAAATAAGCATGGTTTCTGTACTTTTTTTGAACTGGTAAATTGTCAACACCAGTAAACTGTGAAAAGTTGTACACATATAAAATGTAATACCTAGAATAATCACTAAAAAAGCCTATACAAAGAGATATATGCAAAAAAATACCACACATACATAAAAATGGAATTATAAAAATTGTTCAAGTAACCCATTAGAAAGCAGAAAAAAAAAGAACACAGAGAAGCAAAACAAAAAGACAATAAACACAAAACAAAAAATGAAATGGCACATTTAAGTCCTAAAATAACAATAATCACATTGAATGTAAATGATCTAAAACACAAGTCAAGGATGCCTGGATGGCTCAGTCTGCTAAGCATCTGACTCCTGATTTCAGCTCAGGTCACAATCCCATGGTTGTGGGATCGAGAACCAGTCAGGCTCTACTGGGTGTACAGCCTGCTTAAGATCCACTTTCTCTCTCTCTCCTTCTCTCTCTCTCTCTCTCTCTCTCCCTTTGCTCCTCTGCCTCTCACTCCTGTTCTTGCTCTCTCTAAAAAACAATAAAACACCAACTATAGAGCTAAAATATTCAAGATAGTTTGGTACTGGTAGAAAAATAGACAAACGGATCAATGGAACAGAATAGAAAGCCCAAAAACATAGTCAACTGATCTTTGACAAGGGAGCAAAGGCAGTAAAATAGGGGCCATGATAGTCTTGTCAACAAATGGCCCTTGAACAACTGGAAATCCACACACACAAAAATGAATCTGGACACAGACTTTACACCCTTCATAAAAATTAACGCAAAAAGGTTCTTGTGTAGGGGCGTCTGAGTGGCTCAGTCAGTTAAGTGCCTGGATCTTGACCTAGGCTCAGGGCATGATCTCATCACTCATGAATTCAAGCCCCACATCAGGCTCTGTGCTGGTGGTGCAGAGTCTGCTTGGGATTCTCTCTCACGCCCCTCTCTTTGCTCCTCCCCTATGTGTGCTCTCTTTCTCTCTCAAAATAAATGAATAAACTTTTAAAAAAAGGATCTCATGTAAATATAAAATGTAAAATAACTATAAAATTCCTAGAAGGGAACAAAGGAGAAAATCAATGATCTTGGTATGGTAATGACTTTTTAGATAAGACACCAGAGGCATGATCCATGAAATGAATAATTGACAAGCTGGACTCCAGTGAAATTAAAAACTTCTACTCTGAGAAAGACAATGACAACAGAATGAACAGACATGTCACAAAATGGAAGAAAATATTTGTAAAATATCTGCTAAAGGACTCTTACCCAAAATATACAAAGAATCCTTAAAACTCAACAGTAAGAAAGTGAACAATCCAATTAGAAAGTGAGCAAAAGACCTAAACAGACATCTCACCAAAG